CTACTGGACTATCTGGTGTGGAAACAGCCTAAAAGTTGCAGGATTTCGGAAACTTGAAACAGACACTTACAAAAGTTATTTTCTTAATAAATCCAGTGGTGCTTTTAGCTTCATGTTTGTTTAAAATAGCAGATCAATCTTCCTAAATCTGCCAGCTTTTGGTGTGGAAGTCTTTATTTAATTCCCCATTGGATCAGTGAAGTATTATTGAATTTGAAAGAAATAGAATTTCATTTTCCCCTCACACATGTCAGAAAGTTTTTCTGTGTCGAAGCCCTCAGTTTGACCTCAGTTTGACCTCCAGATAACTCACTTTCCTTAATTACAAAATGAACTGAGGAAATGGGTACCTGAAAATGCTTTGCTATCTTCTTATTGCTTTCTCTCTGCTTTATTGGCATCAATTATGTTCCATTTCTGAGGGGCGGGAAGCTTCTGCTAATTGCTGGGCCCAGATATGGAGGCGCAGGAGACTGTTTAAAACTTATCCATTTTGCTGCATCGCCATTTTTCTCTGATTGTCATTGACAAGGTGTAATTTGTATGTGTTAATGGTTACAATCGCTCCACAAAATCGTCTTTGTGCATCTGCTGACTTGGGAGAGTTGAGCAGCATTATCTACTGTAGAGATGTAATTAGATTAAATCTCTTGCTTATGTTTGCTACAGAGGATTATGAGTGTATTAAGAGAACTTTGTGTGGCTTCCAGAGGCATTGTCAGGAATTCAATTAAACTTTTTAATTATTGTTTTATTGTAGCGAGATTTGAATTACAAAGCCAGGAATATTTATTATAGCAGAAAGGTAGAGTTTGGGTTTAGTCACAATATTAAACAAGAAAAAAAGCGTGAGATTTATAAATAAAGTCATAAAAAAGATGTACTCACAACAGATTATTATTTAAAATAAGAGCAAGTGCTTGTATTTTGAAAGAAATCATCTTTTTATTAGCTTATTTTGTCAAAGTTATTTCTTTTTTAGGTTGGAAAACATTATAAATGAAAAAAAAACTTGCTTTTCTGGGCGTTTGTACTCAGTCAACCACTGTTTCCGTGACATTTCATCTAATCATTTAAAATTATAACGTTCTCTGCTCCAGTCTTCTTCTTCCAGCAAATTTTTATTCAGATGTTTTTTTCTTTTCATCCTCTCCTTTAGAAATGCCACAGCTAATGTTTTGAATAAATTGGAGCCACTCTGTATCTTCCAGTCAGTTTCTAATCCGAAGCTGCAGAGTAAAATAACGAAGAACTGGATCTGTCATGTTTCCTTTAATGTCGCTCGATAGTTTCTGCTAATTTTCTACATATACTGCAAAAGCACAAAATATTACCAAGTATTTATGTCTAGTTTCTAGTGTACATACCTTCAAATAAGATAAAACTAACTTTTCAGCAAAATATAGAAGTATGTTTTATGTAAATAATTAATTAATATTGATGGAAAATACTAGTTCTACTGGCAGATTATTTCATTAACATAGGATGTCATGTTATAAGTGAAATAATCTGCCGGTGGAACTAGTATTTTTCATCAATATTAATTATTTAATTAAAACAAACTTCTATATTTTGCTGCAAAGTTACTTATAAATTAGTTTTCTGTAATTTCAAGTGTAATAAGATATTTGCAGTGGAAACTGGACCAAAATAGTTTCCATTCTGGGGGATTTAGGCAGAGAAAAGACATTATTAACTACGACCAGACAAAAGAAAAGTTGGTGGAATCAACTCACTCTCTCACTCTGTGGTTACCTAGCAACTCACTCACTCTGTGGTTACCTAGCAACAACTTGCTGAGTAACGGCAGCAGTTAAAGGTGATTCATAACTAGTTCATAAGCAGTTATGAATCACCTTTAATCAACTGTTTAGAAAAACAATGGCGTGGAGTTAAAACTGGATAAAAAAGGAAAGGTCAAGCAGTATTTTAGATATTTAAAACTAAAAATGAATCAATAATTATTGATATTGACTGATATAAAACACTTATTGTGTCGTTTTTCAGCCCTGACATTAACTTGTGATATTGAACAGCCTTTAAAAACTGAGGTTTTTAACAGATTGTTTTATTTTTGCTCCTTCACCGGAGCCATCCAGAGTCTGATATAGGCTGACCTCTGGTTGCTCTCAGTCAGATGACCTCAGCCAGGCGTCAGCTGACCCCAAAGCTGACCCCAAAGCCTCCCACCCAGCTGCTCCTTACAGACACCGGCGTTCAGCCTCTGTTCCAGGTTCACGCTTCCAGCTGCATCTGATTACTTTCTGTTTGGTGAAATGTCTCTTTGCCTGTTTTTATTAGTTGCTCATTGCTGCTCACAATTAAAACTTCAAAGACATTTCTTGAGGATAAACATAGGAAAAAGTACCGGTGTACCATAATGGTAACACTTTATTTGACTGACGTAACACCTGTCATAGACGTGTCATAGACGTGAACGACTCTGTGAATCCTTATGACGGTTGTTATGAGGTGTCATTCGGTCAAAAATGACATTTTTAATGCAATGTTGATGCTTTAAAAGTGTCATTATTTACCAAATAATGCAAAGTTCACACTTTTAATGCAGCTTTTAATCTAACATTGCACTAAAAATATTATTAACTGAATGATGCTTCAGTCATAAACATTCATGAAGACTAGTCACATTTACTAACTTTTAGTTGAAAACTGAATTATTGTTTACTTCTTTTAGTATTTTTACTATGTTGTAGTTTTTACTTTTCCTTTAGTATTTTAATCCTTAAAACATCCAAAATTTCCAAAATATAAAACAACTTTATATTTTGGCCCATCTGATGAAGTAATGCTTAGATATTAAATGTTTTGATCAGTTACTCAATACCTGAGTATACTTTTTTTTAAGCAAATTCCTTTTTACTCTTACTTGAGTAATTCTTTAGATGTACTTTCAGAGTCACATAAAGACAATTACAAAGTCGGCCTTCTATCACCTGAAGAACATTTCCAGGGTTGAAGGACTAATGTCTCAGCAAGTAGGTAAATGTAATTGAGTAACTGTAACTAGTTCCTACCAGCTCTGTACAGACCCCTCCAAATAAGAACCTTCTGGTTCTTTTTGGGTTGCAGTTCAGGTTAACCTCTGAGATGTTTCTTCAAACTAGCTAACATCATTACACTCTGCTGAACAATTGTCAAGATTGATTAATCTTCCCACGCTGTGCCAACACGTCTCCACTTTCTCCCGCCATGAGGCCACTGTGAGAGTTTCCCCAGTCAGACGGACCTGTTGGTTCTTTTCGGAAAGCGAAAAGAAAACAGACAATTTAGAGTTTCACAGACGCAGGAAGCTCAAAATGCATGTAATTTCTGTGCTGCAGCGGCTCTTTTGTGTGTCGCATGTTCTGCCAACGGACATTTTTCTTCTTCCTTTGTCAGTGAACAATGAGTCCATCCAGCTTATTATCTGCGCAGCAACAGCTTGGTATCACTTCTGCTTCATATCATGGAGCTGCACTTCAAAATAAAACATCTGCCGAGTGTTTGTGCTCTGCTTTGCTAGATTAATGAGCAGAGAGTGGAAAAGTGAGATATGAGGTTAGGCTGGACCCGAGGTGCGACACGCCGCCTGCTAGTTGCCGCGCCGCCAGCAGCGGCGAGAAGATAAATGAGCAAAGTTTGTTTTTGTCAAGGAGCTTTCTTCCCTCAAGCTGAGTTATTCTGGACGTACAACTCTTAATGCGTGTTTATCACTGAATAATGCTGGGTAAACGGTTTCATTATGTGGGATGACCTTTGTTTATCCGGCTTTGTCACAAGTCAGAGTCCTTTACAAAACATTATGACTCTTGTTTTCTACAGAAAAACGTTACTGTGTGGAGTGGAGAGAGTGACTGTGAGTGGTTGGGAAGAGGATTAGGGCCACTGAAAGAAGAAAAACAATTCAGAGTTTAATCCCAAAAATTCAGGTGTTTCTCATAATTTTATTGTAGAATTGATTTTTTTCCCCTCTGAATTAGGAATTTTTCTCAGAATTCTGATTTTAATCCCTGAACTATGATACTTTTTCTCAGAACTGACATTTTTCTCAGGATTCTGACTTTAATCTCCAAATTATGACTTCAATTTCCAAATGCTTAATTTTTATTTTCAGAATTCTGACTTTAAAACCAGAATTATGATTTCACAGTTATGACTTTTTCAAGATTCTGAGTTTCATCCCAGAATTGTGAGTTTTTCCCCCCAGAATTATGGCATTTTTCTTAGAATTCAGACTTTTAATCCCAGAAATCTGACATTTTCTTCTCTCAAAATTCTGACTTTAATCTCTGAATTCTAATTTTAATCCCACAATTCTAACTCCTCCCCCCACCTCCTCCAACAATTGTGACTTTAATCTCAGAATTGTGGCCTTTCTTTCTTGAAATTCTTACTTCAATCTCAGAATACTCAAAATTCTGATTTTAATCTCAGAAGATTAAGATCAGAATTCTGGAGAAAAGCCAGAACTTTGTCTCTGGTTTTCATACATCTATACCACTGTTGCGTTGCTTTCATAGTGTTGACAGGTTTTTTCCATCAACCTCATTAAATCAGAGCAGAAACTCTTCTCGAAAGACTTTAACTATGCAGCAAACCTCTATCTAAGAGGAAACAATACGTTAAAAATTTTAATAATGTCAGGATATTAATAGCCAAAACATTTTTCCCTTTCTACCTAGACTATTGTAGTGAAAAACACAGTTAGAGGCAATAAGGGAGAATCATTTGAATGATCCCCTTGAGGACTTTGCCAGCAGCCATTACCCTACGGTCAGTAAAAACTCTCCGTGTGGCTGAAAGAAGCACTTAGTCCTGTGAAAAAGCCTGAATTCACCCACCGAGGTGAAAGATTGACACACAGCTTTCCAGATCGCTCCAGGCAACCTGTTTTCTCTTCACAGCCCATCGAGCGTCTGCGTAGTCAGGTGGATTTACAAGTCAGCTTTAGCACCGTTTTAATTAGCCTGCGCGTCTGTCTGTCTGTGTCCGTCCTCCAGATGGACCCGGTGCAGAAAGCCGTCCTCCATCACACCCTGGGCATCCCTCCCACAGCCAAGAGGAAGCATGTGTCCTGCAGCGTCTGCCAGCTGAGGTTCAACTCACAGGTGAGCCACTCGAATATAAATTCTCCGCAGAATCAGACTCCACAAAGGCTTAATTTGCTGGGCTGTTCGGCCCGAATCGCAGCTGCATTGAGATGCAGATCAAGTGTTCAGTCCTCTGTAGGCGATGATGCTGACTGAGCAGCAAGACAAAAAAACCTGACAGGTAGGCACTTTGTGAAGTTTATGAAATGCAACCGGGAGCACTTTCATGTTTTTTTATGAAGTAGTAGATTACTCTGCTGCTGAAATTACATGAGGAACAGAAGTGAATAAAGAATGTTTTATTTTTTTACATGACTTCAAAGAAATAAAACTTTTCTGCAGACACCAGCCGTCACAAATTAATCCTCACTGGATGGCTTGTGTTGACGTGTAATTTTGTACGTGTTTGTACTTCAGTTTGGTTCTA